GGGGGGGGTAAAAGAGTGCATTTCTACCAGAAGCTTGCGCTGAGCGTGGTGACATATGAGTAAGATATTCAGCCTAAAACAACAAAACTAGGACGCGATTGCAATCCACTGGCAGCTGAAATGTTTTATGCCACCATCAACACAATTTAGATTATAAATGAGGCGGGCTGCTTCGATCCTGCTTGTCAGGGCCAATCCTGGCGGAGTGGGATATAATATTCTAGCATATAAACAGAGATACCAGATTATTTTTAAAAAATAACAACAAAATCTTTCCACTAGGCTAGGGAACCGAACTCATGTTTTCTGCATACAAAGCTAAAGGCCAAACTATTACACCACAAGCGCCTGTACATCGGATCTGGGAAAACAAATTATAAAATGTATGTAATAAATGCGAAATGTGCGTAAAAGACACTACACACAATCAATCCCCAGAACTCTTTCCAAAGTGGCTATCCGCATTCCTAATAGATGAATAATAGATAAGCAAACAAAACTATAGACGGGAACAAGTGATCGGGAGATCGCGTGTCGGCGACTCCTAGAATTCCCAGCGGAGGCCGACGCACCACTGCTTTGAATGACGTCGTTGGCCAAAGAGTGCAGAGTAGGAAGTTAAGAGTGCTTGGCATGTTTGCCCGAGAGATAAGGCTCGATATTTAGTTTTACATACATACAGGAAACACGGGGGTAGGCGTTTGTCTCACACTATTAGTATTAGCTGTGGAGAACTCAACTTACCACAATTCAGTGCGAACACATTAAAGAATCACTTGTCACAACAGTTCGTTGGGATCGTATAGAGACGGGGAGTGGTGTGGTAAGGTATGCCTGGAATATTGTGTCTTTTACTTGCAGGGTACAGCTAAACTCAGTTTCAACTATCGAGCATAGACTCTCCAGTTTTTGCACGATGTCTAGTATCAAATTGTCTTAACACGTTAATAGTTTTGTAAACACACATTTGCTGTATTCTAGAAAATTTCGTAACAAATACTGACAAAACAAAATCCAAGTGGGTGGTTTCTACATATTTTAATAGGTTTACAGGTTGAGACGAGAGTACAAAAGGCAAACCGCGTCAGCTACCAGCTTGCCCCACTCCTCAAACATCCTAACATCCCCATTGCAACCAAATCCAAGCTCATTAACTCTATCTTCATCCCCACCTTGACCAACCAGTGCCAGACATGGACCCTGACCAAAAGTCTGGAACGTAAGATAACCACCTGCGAGATGAGATGTCTAAGGAGAGCCGTCAAACAAAACCAGACGGGACATGGTCAGAAACAACTGGATCAGAGAAATGATGGGAACAACACCTGTCCTCCACTACATTCGAAGGCAAAAAATCAGGTGGTTGGGACATCTCACGGGTATGGCACCTAACCAGCTTGCCAGTAAAGCCTACTACCGGAAAATATCAGAGTACAAGACAAGAGGAAGACCAAAAAAGACCTGGATCCATGGTGTGAAAGATACCATGAGAACATCCAACCCAGCCAGGCCATCAAACTTGCTAGAGACAGGAAGCTCTTTCTCCCGTCGACGCCCTAGATGTACAAGAGAACGAGTAAAGTAAAGTAAAATAAGAACAACTGGGAAAATATCGCTAGTAAAAGCAAGTCCGTGACACTGTCTTTATTGAACGCATGTTTTGAGAACCTGAAGTGCCAAAAAATGAGTTCACAATGAAAAGTTAATTTCTAGAGACAAGTTTTACCACCAAAAAATTGCCATTGGTGAGCTGTGACGTAGGCCATATGCGATGCGTATAGAAAATGTGCGTGAGGAGCGGGAAGTGCTGTAAACACTCCAATTATCCGCGTGATGGAGATTTAAAGTAGGCCCTATTTTATATAAATTTATGAAAAAAAGTTTTTTTTAAAATCTAGCCTCAATTGTTGTGGAAAAAATATAAATGGGTTGAGACAAACAGATACAACCTGTTGTGCAAAGTATTGGTGACATTGATTCACCTATTAGAGAGAGAGAGAGAGAGAGAGAGAGAG